AAGATTCCCATTCGGATATTTTTTGTACCCTGGAAATATTATTTTCATTAATTTTGAGAAATCAGAATGAATGCAAGAAAACTTTCACTGCAGCTCATTACAAAAAACTCCTCGTGTTCCTAATAACCTTTATGCCCTGAAAAGTGTGTGCCAAACAGGATAAAGGAGACTGAAGAAAGGAGCAACAAGCTCGCTCGCCCGCCCGCTAACGCCGGCATTTGCACTTTTACGTTTTACGTTTATCCCGAGGATAATTTAACACCCCATACAAATGCAAACAAATGAGCGGCAGACACTCAGACTCACACTGACTCGCATAAGTATATGTACGTCGCCGGTACGACTGTGCGACGTGTGAGAAAAAAACAGCAACAAATGGAACAACAACACACAACCCCAACATTTATTTACTTGCAAGTAATACCCGGTAATGGGTTTTTAAAGCAAATCCTCTGCGGGCCTGTAAATGAACTTCAACCTACGTCTCCCGCTGTTTCGTCTCTGCTGCTGCCTCTGTTTGCGCCACCCTTTCTCCCTCTGGCTCTTTCTCTGGCAATTAAATTTCAAATAACAACAACCACACACATGCGTTCGCACTTACACTTACATATGTACAGCTGTGGCATAAATAATAGCACCATGACACTCAATTTTCTGTATTGAAGGATTTTGTTTAAACAGTGGTATTAATGAACGGTTTAAGAACTAATATATATACTTTAGGATGTAATCTAATGTTTCCAAGAGCAATAGTTTGTATTGCAGACTTCAAACGAAAATTATCAAAAAGAAAAGGAATTATTTAGGAATTTAGGCGGCAACAAAAATAGCACTGATTTCCAAAAATTTTTAAAAATACAACTTTAAAAGAAGCTTTCCAAATTTTTCATTAAAGTAGGTCACTTTAGTTGTATTCAAAGGTTAATATTTTGTTGTAAAGCCTTTGGAAGCAACCACAGTGTCTCAGCGTCTTGTCATGAAAGTTCACCTCATTTTCGCATCTTTCCTGGGAGATATGGCTCCACCAATAATGCCTGATACCCCAAAGATCAATATTGTTCCTTGGTTTCGAATTAGAAACATATTTTTTAGCTTTAGCGCAAAGATTTTTCATGGTGTTAATATCTGGCGACTAAGCAGGCCAATGCATTACATTAAATACACTGATCTCGAACCACCTTCGAGCTTCCTTGCTGGTCTGTTTTGGATCATTGTCCTGATGGCAGACACAAAACAACGGCATTTCCTATTCCATATAAGGCAGCATCGTTGTTTTCTAATATTTGAATATAGACATGTTGATCCATCATCTATTTGTGCGATGTATTGGACCACCTCAATAATACGACAAGCATGCCCATGAAATGATACTTATCCCTGAGTGTTTAATGGTTTTATATATTAGCCAGGGGTTTTTATTCTGCATTAGGTGCTGTCATACATAAGATTAATAGCCTTTTCCACAAAAAAAAAAAACAATTTGACTTTCTTCGGACCACATGATGTTTCTTTGGGACAACTCCAGTGCTATTTGCAGACTGCACTCACTTTGCCCCATGGCTTTCTTTCTAAAGTGGATTTTTCCACAGACTTTTGGCACTTAATTTATGTTCTTGTATGCAAGAACTAACTTTGCTCATCCTTGCCGATTTTTTAAGATCCTTTTTTAGCTCTGTGGACGATTTATAAGGGTCCTTCTTGTTCTCATCAAGCAGTAGTTTGACCGGAAATGGCGGTATAGCGGCTTTTATTCCATGTGTTTTTTGTTGGTTGCTTGTTTTAAAGCATTGCGAATCAATGCTCAATGATCAACCAACAATTGGATTCACCTTAAGATAGGTGTCTCCTTCTGAAATAAAAGTTTTAATCCTCATGCTTTTTTCTTACCTAAAGTGCTTTCTAAGACCCAAAACTACTTTTATTTTGTTAAGTTCTTGCCACAATCAATCTAAGACACCGTGTTTTAATTTATTTAAGATCATAAAATATCAAAAAGCTCGGAAAAGTAAAAGTTTTTATAAAAAACCAATTTTAGTGCTATTTTTGTTGCCGCCCTATTTCGCTTCTTTTTTGGAAAATTGCCTAAAGTAATAAGAACCGTTAGGAATTTGAGAGTAAGCACACTTCTATCAGAGAGGAAACATGTTCACCTAATTGATATTATAGTAGAGGTCAAAATATGTTATTGAGTGATCATGTTTTGAAACAATAAAGACTGTAGTACCAAACAGTGCTATTATTTCTGCCGCAACTGTATGTATACATACATACTCGCGGAATGGAAGGGATGGGCAGGGGAAAGGGCAGGAAAGGAAAGTGTCATTATATAGTTAATTAAACAAACATTTTGTGCAGATAAAACGCTTTAATTAATGCTCTTAGTAGAGGATGTCCCTTTAAAGCTCTTTCGCCACGTACCGCTTTCCCGCTCTCGTACTCTCTTTTCCATTTCCCTTTTTTCCCCCTCTATCTTGTTGGTATCCTCCTTGAACACCTGAAAAGTATGCAATGAAAATTCTTCACGCTGCTCTGCGGATCATTTGCATGAAGAGGGCGTGGCATGATGGACTTGGCAGTGCGTTTGTCGTTCCATGTAGAACTGTGATCAATCAAAACTGTTAAATACTTCTTAAATATAAAACACATCTGAATATTTTAAGCTATTCCAAAACTCACATTTGTAAGCAGATTAACCTCATCTTATCCGCTAATCTTTCCCCAATCTTTTAATACTATTATTACAGTTTCCTCAAACCTCAAACTTCCCTTGAATAAAACTCTCTCTCCCCTAGGGTAACTCCCTTGTCGGCTCTCTCTCTCTCACATGCATTAACATTCCCTGTCCGTTATAGCATTGGCCTTCTTCTTGTTTTTATACATTGTCCAGAAAGCTGTCGTTGAGCGTGCGATTTTTCAATATCCTGGTGCGCGCAACATAAATGACCATTTTTGATGGGGCTTTCTGCCAGAATCCACCCCCGCATCATTCCCCCCCATGGCATGGGGTGACACATGGTCTCGTGTTGACGCGCCATAAAATATGCAATGCATGCAGTATGTCAGCGTTTTACCCCATCCACCCAGCAGCCTCACTTTTTCGCTGCCACCCCCAACTGCCGAATGCCGAATTCCTGCCTCACTGCTGCCTGCCCCATCCTCTGACTGCCAGTCAGCTCTCATAACTCAGAAAAAGACGGGGGCATTGGGTGGAAGGCCAAAAGTCATTTCGTTTTTTGTCAGGCCCATCGCACAAAACTATCAATAATATGCCACACCCACAACCCACCCACACGCCACATCCCGCATCCCAGAGGAGTGGAGGGGAAAGGAGATTCAGATGGAGCGCACCACATTCAGGCACATATAAACTGTTTTGCTTTATGACTTTTATATGCAGCTGCAGTTGCAGCTGCATACGGCGGAAGGATCCTGTGGATTGGGGGGCGAGGGGTGCTGAAAATATTTTTAATATGCTTCGTCGATGGCTTCGGCAGCGGCAACAAAAACAACAAAAGCTTACAAAGGCAGCAGCTACGTTACGTATACGTCACGCTTTCCGCTATTTATTTTTTAGGATTCCGTTTCGGTTCGGTTTTTACGTGTAGGATGGCATGGGGCACACGGATGAATCGCCGTTTGGCATATTGAATACTGTTTTTGTTGCAATTTGATCGCTGAATTTTGGTTTTTGGCATCGGTTTTGGGTTTTTTGGTTTCGGTTGCTGTTTTGTTTAGCTTTAAAATCCGCTAAATGGCGGGTATACAGGATGCATGATGCAGGATGCAGGCAGGATGTTGGCTGTACGCAAAAACCCGAAGCCAAAAACCGACATTTGGCATACATAAATACACGTGTATGTATGTACACATACATATACTGTGTGAGTGTGTGTGCAATGTATCCATAGACACATGCCGGGGTCATGGGGGATGGCATTTGGTAGACATGAAATTCAATCAATTGGAAATTCCATATCAGTGGAATTATTTTAATATTTATGCAAAATATTTACGCACGGAACCAAAGCATTCAAGCCCGCCAATGCAGTGGCTGGAAAGTGGAAGAGTGGTAGTGGGTTTAGTAGGGGCAGAGGGAGGGAGGGATACTCGCGTATGAGAAACAGAAATAATAATAATAATAATAATATTGAAATTGAAATTGATTTTAAATGTAAGGCCATTGAATATTTGAACAGAATGCTCTCAATGTAATTATTGCCGAGGTTTTTGTACGCTGAGGGACCACTTCTTTTGCCTGGTCTCTGTATGTATGCAAAATGGCAAATGAATATGCCACAAAGCGTGCCACATACTCGTATGTAGTGTGTGTGGGTGGCATAGGTGAGTGAAATATGAATATTAATGAATGGTTTGTTTTGGGGGCTTCGTTTCGCTATAAATTATGGCAGCTGTTAAAGTCAGGCACTCGGATTTATATTGCTTCAATGAATGCATTTAGTTAGTGTTTCGGATGCTCATTCATTCTCCGTTTGTGACAGAACAATCTATTCTTAAAAGAATGAAAATCAAACACTGGAAAATGTGCGAGTGTGCGGTGTGCGTGTGTGTCATGGCAAACAGCTTCTGGCAGCTTCCACATGTCAAATGCAGCTCTGTGCAATATACTCAAAGGAGTAAGAGTAGAAGCAGGGATATGCTGCCGTCTCATTTACCCGCTCCCTCAATGAATGTCACACATTTGACAGCTTCGTTCTCTTGACATATCTGTCTCTCTGTCTAACTCGATTTTCCTCTTCTCTCTTTGCTGCAGTTTTGACAGTTATTGAGCGTAGATATGTTACCGTTGGGAATGAATATTTGAGGTCTTACAGCAGTGAGGGAATTTGAATGAAAACTCGCAGTAATTTGAATAATTTTTTGTGTGAACTACAAGCTAAAGGACTCTCATTTTAAGTGAATTCCCCCCATAGATATATGCACCCATATAAAATACTCTCAAACTATAACTTAAGTCTCTTCTTTCCTTTTTTTTTTTGCAGATACAAAATCGAAGTGGCTGGCAAAAGCCTTCCTGTGCTCACAAATCTCGACAAGGGACGCTATGGCGTGATTGTATTCGAGAATTTGGACAAGTACCTCAACATGGACAAGTGGAATCGCGAGCTCCTCGACAAATACTGTCGCGAGTATGCCGTCGGAATTGTGGGGTTCCTCAGTCCCAGCGAAGAGACTCTGGTGGGGGCACAGCTCCGGGATTTTCCACTGTTTGTCAACACGAACCTGCGGCTTCGTGATGCGAGCTTGAATCCTGGATCCTCTGTGCTACGACTGACGCGTGCGGGCGAAACCGCATGGGGAGCACTGCCCGGCGATGATTGGGCGGTGTTTCAGCATAATCACAGTACCTACGAGCCCGTGGAGTGGGCGCAGCGGAATACGAACGAGTATCCGGTGGATAGTGTGGGGCAAGTGCAGCTGCCACTCACGACAGTGCTGCAGGATCGCGGCCACTTGGATGGCATCCAGAGGGTGCTCTTTGGGAGCAGCCTGCGCTTTTGGCTGCATCGCTTGGTGTTCCTCGACTCCCTTAGCTACCTGAGTCACGGACAGCTGAGCCTCAATCTCGAGCGGATGATTCTCGTGGACATCGACGACATCTTTGTGGGGGAGAAGGGAACACGGTTGCGGCCAGACGATGTGCGTGCTCTGGTAGCCACGCAGAAGAATATTGCAGCCATGGTGCCGGGATTTAAATTCAATCTCGGGTTCTCTGGCAAGTACTACCACCACGGCACGCGGGAGGAGAACCTCGGTGATGATTTCCTGCTGCAGAATGTCCAGGAATTCAATTGGTTCTCGCACATGTGGAAGCACCAGCAGCCGCATCTGTACGATAATCTCACGCTCCTGATGGCCGAGATGCATCTGAACTATGCCTTTGCGATGGACCACAATATACCCACCAATTCGGGATACTCCATCTCGCCGCATCACTCCGGGGTGTATCCCGCCCACGAGCTGCTCTATGTGGCCTGGAAGAAGGTGTGGAACGTGAAGGTGACATCCACCGAAGAGTATCCGCATCTGCGGCCCGCAAGACTGCGGCGTGGGTTCATCCACAGGAACATAATGGTGCTGCCGCGGCAGACATGTGGCCTGTTCACCCACACGATGTACATCGATCGGTATCCCGGGGGCAGGGATAAGCTGGACGAGTCGATACAGGGCGGAGAGCTCTTCCAGACGATCGTCTACAATCCGATCAACATCTTCATGACGCACATGTCGAACTATGGCTCGGATCGACTCGCTCTCTACACATTCCAATCGGTGATCAAGTTCCTGCAGTGCTGGACGAACCTCAAGCTGGCCTCCGCACCTCCCATTCAGCTGGCGGAGATGTACTTCCAGCTGCATCCCGAGGAGGTGGATCCCGTGTGGGGCAATCCCTGCGACGATGCGCGCCACAAGAAGATCTGGTCCAAGACCAAGAACTGTGACTCGCTGCCAAAGTTCCTGGTGATTGGACCCCAGAAGACGGGCACCACGGCCCTCTACACATTCCTCTCGATGCACGGCAGCATCGCGAGCAACATTGCCTCACCCGACACCTTCGAGGAGGTGCAGTTCTTCAATGGCAACAACTACTATCGGGGTCTCGATTGGTACATGGATTTCTTTCCCTCTGGCGAGACCATGGCGATGGGGATGGGGATGCCCAACAGCAGCTCGCCGATGCCCACGCAGGTGGGCAGTCCACGCTACATGTTCGAGAAGAGTGCCACGTATTTCGATGGCGAGGCAGTGCCCAAGCGGACGCATGCCCTGCTGCCGCATGCGAAGATTGTGACGATACTGATATCGCCAGCGAAGAGGGCCTATTCCTGGTACCAGCACCAGCGGGCACATGGCGATGTTATAGCCAATAATTATAGTTTCTATCAGGTAAGGCTTATCCTTGTTGCTTGTTGCATGCCCCTTTAAGTGATTGAAAATTTGCAATTTCTTGGCCACAGAAAATCACACACAAAAATCCATTCAGGGTTTACCTCAAAAAACACAAAGAAAATGAATGAAATTTTTGGTCTTAATTTGAGCTTCAAAAGCAAACAACATGCTGCATGCCCCTGCTGCAAGTTCGAGCACATTTCATTTGAATTCCGATTGCGGATTGCATTTCTATTTGCACCCCCGCACACACTGACACACGAGGCGGCACATGCCACAAATTGCTTCGACAGCTGCCTGCTGCTCAGACATGTGTTCTGTTCTCCTTACTGATTCTGATCCTTCTTTCTGCCACTCTTTCTCTTGGGTAGGTCATAACGGCAAGTGACTCGGCACCGAGGGCCCTCAAGGATCTGAGGAATCGTTGCCTAAATCCTGGGAAATACGCCCAACACTTGGAGCACTGGCTGGCCTACTACCCCGCCCAGCAGGTGCACATCATCGATGGGGACCAGCTCCGACAGAATCCCATCGATGTGATGAACGAGCTGCAGCGATTCCTCAAAGTCCAGCCGCTGCTCGATTATTCAAATCATCTGCGCTACGACGTGAAGAAGGGCTTCTACTGCCAGGCGCTCAACGAGAAGCGCAATAAATGCCTCGGAAAATCGAAGGGACGCCAGTATCCGACGATGGATGAGCGCAGCGGCAAGCTGTTGCAGCGGTGAGTAAAATCGAAAATTCCCATTCGACAGGAGAAGGAAGAAAAAGCGCCACAAACAACAACAAAAAAACAGTCACAAAAAGTGTGGGGTGGGAGGAAAACCTCCACTTCGGACCGTTCGGTTTTCCGTTTTCAGTTTGCAGAGCTCTGGTTTTTTCTGTTGTTTGCCCTATAGGTGTGAGGAGTGATTTGGGGCAGACACCAGGAGATGGAGGTGTGCTTTGGGGGTAGACAGTAGAATGGAGAAGGATGCTGCGATGCTGCTGCTTTGAGTGAAGGATTAATGAACATATATGGGTGGTGGCTCCCTTTTTTTTTTTGTTTTTTTCTGCTCGTGAAAGGATGGTTTTGGGGGGATGGATGGGATGTGAAATGTGGCACTTTGCGGCCGCTAAAAGTGCACTTTGCTGTACTGCGATTTCGGTATGCCAGCTGTCAGCTGACAAGGGAAACGATTTGCTGAAGGATATGTGAAGGGTGGCGGTGGCAGGCACAAGGAGGACACTTCTGGGGCGACAAAATGCGAGACAGACGAAGAGGTGCACAGATGAACTACTTTGTGAGGCATTCATCGGCACTAAATTGGGAGTATATATCAGCAGTAGGATGTGGTCGAAGGAAATAATAGTTGTGCGAGTAAGTGGTTGAAATGTGGATGAGATTTTTATGGGTTGTTAGTTTGTACTTGTGGTGGGAAGATGGGGAAGAGTAGTGACAGAAGTGACTGGAAATATGGACTGGAATATATGAATACTTGCGAAGGGAGTCACAGAAGTAGCTAAACTTAAGAATAGAGCCCTGGGATTATGAAAAGGTTCGAATGTACCACTCTCTATATATGTAGATATAAAGTTAGGATATCCCCAAGCCTTAATTCCTCTCAGCGTCCTCCATTTATGACTCAAACGTTGCCCTATCCTTTGACTCTTGTTCCGATCTGCATATTTGTCTCAGGGAGAGAGAGAAACCACGAAATTTGAAATTCGAATTCTTTTGAAAGCTTCATTTGACTTGCAAACTCCCCCCCCCCACTCATTCAACCAATGGTTTTCCTGTTTCTATTTGCAGATACTATCTGAATCACAATACGGCGCTGGTGAAGCTGCTAAAGAAGCTCGGCTCTCGGCCCATTCCTCAGTGGCTCAAAGAGGACTTGTCGACGGGCACGTGATAGCAGCTGTTTGGTGGAGGTGGTGGAGGAGTAGGAGGAAGTGGCAGCGGCGCAGGAGCCATAAAGTATCGCAAAATGCGGGCAAAACTCAGGAAACAATTGCATTGGTTGCACCTGCCAGCGGCGGCGGCGACAAAAGAGAGAAGCAGCAGCCACGAGGACAGCGGCGCCAGTTGGCAGCGACGTCGACGCCACAACTGACAGCAGATAAAAAATGCAAAAGCAACCATAAAATATAAGATGAAAAAAGTTACATAATTAGTCGCGCTTTTAAAATGCATAAATCTTTTTGTTTGTTGCTATTGAAGCTAATTAATGTCACTACCGCTGCAGTTGTCAGTGGAAGTTGTACGATATAAATATAGTTATACAGCATGTATGCATGTGTGTGTGTGTGTGTGTGAAAATCTGTTATGTAAATATGACCCGTGTGTGTGTGTATGCGCGCATTATAAATTATCATAAATAACATCCATAACATGAGGCACGAGAGTGGCATCATGAATATAAATATGCATAAATGCGCTTTGTTAGTTGTTTAATGTTTACTGTATATCATTATTATTATTATTATTAGTTGCTTATCGCAAATTAAGCGCCTAATTAAGTTTTGTATATCGTATATATTTTATGATTTCTGTACTTTGTTGTTACCTCAGAGACACAAACACACACACACAGACAGAATTTCAACGCTTCAATGCATCCTAAAGACTCAAATCAAAAGCACTTCTACTTCTATCTCAATGTAAACACTCTCTGTACTCTATCTGTAACTGTAAAAGCCATGCCAAAACTGTGACGGATCCTTTCCCCCAAAAAGGAGCCAACGAGTGCTACAAACACCCTACAAAACAAATACTTATCTACATTTAGGATATAGCATAAGGATAAGGCTGCTCTATCCCATAAGTGTATTTGTAAATGTTTTAAGCCTAAGCTACTCCATGCAGCGCCATGCCATGCAACGCTTGCACCATGCAGCATGAATGTGCGAGTAAAATTGTACAGCTCTAGTTGTACTCTCCCTAAGTCCCTAAGCACTAAGCAAAGCTCTATTGTATAGTTGGATATATGCGTATTTAGTGTATATGTATGAGGACTAGTTCAAGTTTAGATTGGTAATGCGACAATAATAAAACGCGAACATTATTGCAAAGGTAAAATGGAATATTACTACGAAGAGTTCTGATGTTTTTCTGGCTGCGATCCATGTATATTGGATTCATATTTCAAACAGCCACACAACAGATTTGATAGGTTTCAGCTATCTGAAGCCTGAGGAGGATACGATTGCAGTTGGGACCCGAAAAACAGGGCGATATGGATCTGATATTGAGCAGAGACATTCGTCTGATACAGGCTTGTGAAACTTTCTCAAAATGTCGTCAGGCCATGTCACCGGCACCGTCATTGCATCCTTCTTCCCACATAATCGCGAGGAATCTCAAGGTCAATTTCTCTGCTCCATCTAACGGCCCACGCTCCAGGCAGCAGGCGCCAAGTCGGGGCAAATCTTCTACTTCTACTTGTAAGCACAAGAATTTACTACATGGCCAAAGTGGCGCTCCAAGTGTTCGAAAAAAAAATTTGTTTGCACGAGTCTGGCAACGCCCGAACTAGTTCAGTTCAAAAAGTTAATTTGAGAACTGAACAATTGTATAGTTCCATAAACAGGCGCAGCAGGAATATGGCGCCACTGAGCATGTGCTGCTGGCAGCATGCTGGCAACAAACTTTCTAATTAATGTTAAATAACATTCATTTTGCAGTAAATCTGCATACCTTGGGAAAATGGATATTATGGACTTGAGATATTGTTTGTAATTTCAGGCTCAAATGTTTTAAGCATATCAACGAAATTTTGCAGCACACGGGTACCAATAATAGGTATCAGAACCGGGATAAATGTATTTATAGAACACAAAACATATGCATTAATAGTTAAAAACATGTCAATCTAGGATAAAAACATTATTAATGTGTCAATGGAGCTTGGAACAACAAAATTAACATCAATTAAAGGAAATAAGGAATACACAAGTCCATACGCATAGAAGAAACTTGGTTGACCAGCAACAATGACGTCACATTTAGTCAACATTTTCGTTTTATGCTTTGGCCGTTTTTGTTTGAACGTTATTATGTAAAGAATCCAATGCAAAGGAGTTCTGAAAACTAGCCAATCTTGTACAAAATTTATTGATAAATTTGATCAAATTATTTTTTTAGGGCTGAAAGGGCTAACTAGCTTGTAATATGAAGCCGAATATCAAAATCGAGGAATATCAACGCATCCGTCAGTATATGTACTGTATATTTTGATACTGACAAGGTATATTTCGGTATATTTCTGATGGTCAGGCGGTATATTTTGTTGATAGATACGCGGTCACACCTTTTGCTACCCTGGAATAAAGCTTGTACCAAAAGTCTCGCATCGGGTATAAAATATATACTATCGTATCGTCGATAGCGACGACTAAAGAACCGTTAGAGTGTTCTCGGCCGCCGCGGACAACGAAACGTAGTCGCTCTTTGGGTTTGGCGTCAGAAAAGTTCCGCGCGCGACGTTGAGAGGGTGTGTTTACGTCTGGTTTTCTCCAAAAGCATAGGCAATAATTTATTTAAAATCGTGTGAATAATAGATAAAAGCACGTGCAAACAGGTACTTGATAATTAGCGACAATTCGAGTCGAAAACGTCGTCGCGTGTGCAAAAAGAGAGCCGGTGACCGGGTCGTGGGCGAAGAGAGTGCCAAAGAGAAGAGAAAGCCGTAAAGCCGAAAAGCCGCCTTGTTAATAATTAATTGCAATAATTTATAGCCGGTGATATAGAATTCGAGTGATAATCGTTTTGCGGCTGTTGTTTTGTGCGTTCTGAGTATGTTCTGTGTTTAAAAGAAGAAGAGTGAAAAAACTCCGCGAAGAGTCGCTGCCCTTTGCCTGCCCACAGCAAACCGGTAATTCTCTCCTCCATTGTCATTCCACCTTTTTGGCGCCCGCTTTCGATGTTGTTGCTGCTTGTTGCATTGCTTGTATAACAATTGGCATTGAAATAAATGACATTTGTTTTAGTGCTCAAACTAAATTTGGAGTAAAATTTTAAATTGGAATTAAATTTTTTGTTATGTTCGCACAGTTAAATGTTTTTAAGGTTCGAACACAGAATGCAAAAATCGCGAAAATCTCGAAACGTGAATGTTTCAAAATTCAGTGACCGGTTTCCCCAAATTAACTTTTACCTGAAAATAAATTAGTTGTTTTTTTTGTTAATATCTACAACAAAATTAGCAACAACATCGGAATTTCTGGTCTAGTTAGTGGAATAACGGTTACTCTTACTCATTTCCCTTTAATCCACTCGCAGTGTGTTTGTGATTCACTCGACTCCCCGCTCCCCCCTCCCCAACAAACGTATTGCTGTGATCTGGTAGGCGTGACAAGCTGACCCTCCATCCACCCACCACCCCCTGGAAGTGCGGTTGTTTTTGTAGTGTAGTGTAATCGGACGGAAGGAAGCATGTCCAGAAACGGCGCTGCCGTGGTGAGCGCCTTCCGCCTCCTCCTGCGTCCCTCGGGTGTCAGTCGGCATCGTGGCCTGCGTTTGGCCCCTGTGACGGCCTTTGCTCTGGTAAGTGTAAAATAAAAAATAAAAACAGACTACGTAAAAGATACAGACAAAAACATACCCTACGCTCCGGGGGAGCAGCTGTTGCAGACGTCATTGGCGGGTTTAATGGAATTTATAAAAATATACACACTGTACATACAGACAGATATAAATATGTATGGTGATGTTCCCCTCATGCGTGCGTTGTCTGTGTTTATATGTGTGGTGTGGCACATGTTTTATTTGAAATTATTAAAATTTATGCAAAGAACTAGTCTGAATATACAGACAACCACTTACATACATACATATGTACATATGTACACGCACTTTGTAGTTGCTTTGTTTCTTTCTTTCGGTCGCTCTGTCTGTTTGTCGTTCTTCTTTTAACATGTGCGGCTTGTTCTCTTCGCCCATTGCTTGCACTCTCTCTCTCTTGGCGGAGTCAAACTTCAGTTCAAGTTTTACTCTCTCTCTCTCTCTCCGACTCCGTTTTGGCACTCGCTCTCTTCGAGTGAGAGTGAATGAGTTACTATGTAGTTCAGTTGCTTTATAGCACCTGCGCGTCGGCACCTCCCCCTCCCCCGCACCATAGATTCTGAGCAAAGGTGAACCAAAAGCAACAGCAAATAAAACAGCTGTCAAAAATGTTTATCATTGCATTAAGGCGAATGGCAGTGATGGAATGGGGTGGTGGGGGAGTGATGAGTTATAGCGGTTTTTCGCGACCGAGAGAGCTAACACTTTCCTCTCACAGCCAGTCAGGCTTGAAATTGAGTAAATTGTAGAATTTCTCGTGCCGAAATGAATGAATCATTCAATAGTGATGCTGTTGTGTTGAGAATATTGTATAACTGTAGAAAGTAATGCTTATCAGGTTTCATATTTCTGAGTGTACGCTAATGAATGAATGTTTTTGCTCTCTGTTTTCGTTTTACATGACAAAGACGATTTGCATACAAAATGATTAAATTAAATTTATTTATAATATTGAAGCGTTGGAGAGAGGGAGAGAGACAGTACAAGTCGGCGTGAACGTTATTATTTGCTCTCCCTATTATGACAGAGAAAGAGAGAGATAGAGTAGGAGCGCAGTAAACACCGGCAAGCAGAAGAAAGGGCGACAGGAGCAGGGGGCGGTAGAGGGCAAAGATAGCGGCTCCTTCTCCTCCTACCACCCACCGCTACGCTCTTCGTGTCATTTTGAGGAGATTTTGTAGCGGGATTATTTACCTTTCAGCAAGCTATTTTCCCATACATATACATACTACATATGTATCTGTGTGTGTGCATATTCAATTTGCATTTGCTTTTTTCTCTCTTTTTAGCTGATTAAAGTCAACAAAAGCAACTACAAAAGCAACATTGATTGTGAAGAGCACACAAAAAATACTCGTACTCTTTTTTGAGTCAAAAGTTTAGTCAACTTCTTGACACGGGTATTGGCCTTTGTACCTCAAACGTCTGTCAGCCAGACAGCTCTTTTTTCCACTTGACTTTTCGACAAAATTACTAAACTTTGAAGCGGATATTGAGATAAAAGATTGATGGATTTGTTCTCTAAGTTTGTATCAAAATAAAGTCGAACCGTAGCTTATATTTATTCTCCTTAAGTTTGTAAAATCGAATTCTTGACTGGAAGTTCTTTAGAATATTCTTCAGAACATTTTTCATAGTTTTCATTCTTAAAGCTTCAATTTCTCAAGTTATCTGGTAGGAGGAAGATGGCTTCATCTTTTCAATTTTTTGTGTAAAGTTCCTGTCGCGAATAAAGCCACGGGTATGCCATCGCATTTCGCAGAGTTTTTCCTGTCTCTCTTCGACAAAAACAAAAACTTTTATTGGCGCCATTCGGTCTGCCACACAATACTCATACACGGCGAAATGTGTGTGTGTGTGTGTGTGTGTGTAACATCTTTCGCACTGTTTTCCCGTTTCCCTATGCTCGCCTCATGGATATCCTTCTCCCCTCTTTCTATCTGCCAATTCAACAGACACACTTCCCTTTTCAATGGGATTTTGGGCTGGCGCTCGGATTTTGGATTTTTGCTCCATTTGTCTGTGCTTTTGTTCAGCCATACACATAGTTTTTGTTCCTGATAGGCGCTGGGGCGTGGCTGTTGCTACATATGTGATCATCCCCCCCCTGACTACTCCTTCTCTATCTCTCTCTGTAAACAATTATTTTTGTCCCCGGGAACAAAGGATAGCATAGCAATCAATTGATATTTGATTAAATATACGAGTACGAGTGCAATGATTCAGGCTTTGGACTCCGGCTTTATTTTTGTATGTGTGTAGCATGTGTGTATTTGTGTTTCGGTAGTGAATAAGCCCCATCCATGTGGATTTATCTGGGAAACGAAAAAACTATGCGACATTTATGCAAATGGAAATTCATCATACACTCGTATGGATGGAAATACATTCATTTCATTTATGTGCCACACTGCCACTGTAGGTTGGCACTTAATGCGGCGAAAGGTCAGGCTTAAAGCGGGAGATTAAACCCCGAGTATATGGAATGATATGTGGGTCACTTTTTCCCCGTCGCTACTCATT